CCCCTCTGAATGGAATATGCCTGTCTGTATTTATCTTCCACGTGAGCTAGTGTTGGACTGCCGTCACCCAAAGATGGAAGAAGCTCCCACAACAGCTTTCTGGAGTAAATTGGAGTGTGGTAGACCCGTGCTGCTTTCTTTCTGAAGACACGTGTTGTCTTGTGGACATCTGAATGCGTAGTGATGTTTTCCCACTTTTCAGAACTAAGAAGAGCTACGTTTGCTTCTGCAAAGCATCTTCCTTTAAAGGATTTACAAAAGAAGTTTCTATAATGTGCTGTTTGCAGTTATTTCATTTTTCTTTCTTCTGTTTGTTTTTTGTGTGTTTTAGTATTTTTGTTTTGTTTGCTGCCCCCTTTGTCTTGTATATAAGTTTATCTGGTCTGAGGAAGGAAAATGAAATCATCTAAACAGCAGGACAAAGGATGAACTAATGCAGCAAAGATATTCACTTGATATGAAGTGAGACATAAATTCTACCACTTGGGGAGAAGGGGAGTAGGGAGGGGAAAGCAGGAGAAAATGAGGGAGGGGTAACAGTATCCAAAAAGAAATGTATTCATCATCTTACTTACATAATTGTAACACCCCTATTCATCACTTTTACAATAACTAAGAAAAAAAAGAATTTAGCCAAGTAAATTAATATACTACTGAACATTAGTCTACTACTAATGTTTCCAAGAGTACATACAGTGTTCTCCAAAAGAGTTCAGAATTTCTTTATGAGATGACTTAAAGAACAATGCTTGATAGAAAATGTACTCATTACCTTATTCATGTAACTGTAACCTCTGTACAGTATCTTTACAATAAAGAATGTATATGTTTTTAAAAAGAACAATTCTGCAGCTGTGCAGAAAGTTACTACAATGCTCCTCAGCCTTTTTTTTCACCCGCTCTCCCATCTGTAAACAAATGATGCATAGCTGCCTATGTGATTAAGGCATTCAGATTTGGAAATACATTAAAGCTACATTAACTGGGAGTATGAACTTCCTCTTTTCCATACTCCCCATACTGCGCATGGTTCTCATGGCTCCTCCTCCTCTTTCTCAGCCAGTGTCTTAGAAAATTAAATTGCAAGTGATATGCCAATGGCTGGGGTAACATTTATCAAGAAGCATTGTACTTAAAACTGATATTGAATTGAACCTTGTTTTACTGCTTTTAAACATAATTTTAAAAAGAGCGACTGTGTCCCATTGCAAACTCCAACGATCTAAGAAATGCGTTAACATAAAATAATTCCGTGTCTTATCCTAACCCTCAAGTGATTAGTAAATTTATAAAACCAGAGCCATGAGAATGTGTAAAGGGACATCAGAGATGTGTATGGGTAAGATATTACAGGCTAAACCTCAGGAACAGCGCAATGGATGCTTGCTCTCAGGTTGTAGCAAGGCATCTTTTCCCTTCACGCAGGTCCTAGTTTAATTGTCGAACCACCCTAGAGGTTTGACCAGGCCATAATACCAAATGAAGCTCCTCCTTAGCCCTGCCATTCACCACATCCTGGTATTTCCTCCTGCCACTGATTAGCACCTAACTTTAAAATTAGCATATATTTGTTTTCTGGTTGTCTCCCTCCTGCTAAGTTCCAGCAGAGCTTGATCCCTTAAGTTCGTCTCTACCTTCTTGCAGGTCAGTGGCTCTTTGTAGGCATCAATTCAATAAAAGGCCAGACATTCCTCTACTTGAGAGGGGCCAGATCCCCAAATATGCAACATCCACTGAAAACATCCTAAGCACAGAACGCATATAATGTACTAACCTACTGGACATCTTAACTGCATTAACACCATGCATTAGAGAATGCTGGTTACTTGCCTCATGATCTCCTTGCTGAATGGGCTTTGGCTTCCTGCTGTGCCTGAGATCAGAGCAGGGCGTTGTACCCACATTGCTATCTAGGAAAAGATCAAATCATCTATTGAATGCTTAATGCATTTGCACCATCACAGACATGAGAAAATTGCAAGTGGGACCACTGTTAAATTAAAGAGTGTGTTCATATGAAGTGCGTAAAGAAGTGAACCTTGGATTCCACCTGTGTAGCTGACACAAATCACAAAATGTGGGGAAAATAGGGCAGAAAAACACAGCCTACTACTTCTTCCCAAGTAATCAAATGTTATCCCCAGATTAGGTTGAATCCCAAAGAACTAATGAAACTTCGGATTTCCTAATACAAACATAACTACATAAATCCATACTTTTCTACAAGACATCATTCTATTTTCCCAAGCCCCCACCATTGTTCTATAAATCAGAATTCTTATAGAACCTCTATCTAAGATGTATAACTACAACGAATTAGCAGCGGAAAACCTGGAACTCTGAGCTCATGTATGTGCCTTCCTGGTGTGTCACATTCATTATTACTAATCTTAGACTTCCAGGAAAAATAACATAAAATAAAAGCTGTGAGTGTGAGAAGACCACCTGCTTTGGCCAGGGATCAAGCTTGAAGATTTCTACCTGTTTCTCTATGATCCAAAGGTAAAGCAGGGACATGGTAATGCTTTCAGATGACAAACACCATTGTAAGACTCTGGGTCCCCAGCCTCCTCCCAGACTGTTGGGCCAGAACCCTTTGCACAGCACTTGGGTAAAGCCCTGCACCACACCACCATCGCCCTCTCCCATGTTCCTGGTGCGTAAGACTCGCTAGCTTTGTTATCCTGTGGGAAGGCCATTGCCCTGCATGGGGACCGAAGTCCTCATCACGTTGGTTTACTTTTTCCATGACAATAGAATTCTATGAAACTGCCCTTTTCCTCTTGCATTTCAATGTTACCCATAATCTCCATGCCACTAAGTAAATAAAGCAATTTCTAGCCATTAGAAATTACTTCTTAGCCCCAAATGGAATGTATAGCAAAATTATTTTGTTCTTATAATAATCGTAAGCTATTTTAGAGGTTGTTCCCTATGGGTTTTGCTCTGCAGGCCAATCTCTTCTGAAACAAGATCCTCCACCTCTTCCTCCCTTGGGCATTATTACAGGCGTGTTAGCACCATTTACAGTTTAAACGTTCAATCAGGGCACAACTGCATTTTTGCATAACTGTACAGATTCCCACCCTCTTTCTTTTCACTGGTTTCTCAAGTCAACCATGACCAGGAGTATTACTCAATCTCTTATCACTACCAAGGTGCTGTCTATTATAATAGTTCCCTTTTATCACTCAATCTTATTACAAAATATTAAACATAAACTCGCCTTCAAACCTGGACATGGGCAGTAACACAATGAAGCACTTGAACTGCTACAAGCCTAAGACAGAGCCAACTCTAGTTTTCCACAGCTAATTCTTAAGGAAATGAGTCATTGATGATTTTTTTTTTCGTGGAGAGAAAGGTAATGAGAAGTGGGTAATGTGATAATGAAATCAGAAGCATTTTCACCTAGCTATGACCTGTTCCCATTGTTTAATTAAAAATATACATTTCACAGGCTCTCTATAAATGATAAGTCTAGGCAGAAACACTAGAAACCTTTATGAAAGGACTCTAATTATCCTGCAGAATTACATAGAATTCCTACAGTTAAAGTGAATTACTGCTTTTCTGTGCTGCCAAGACAACAATATCTTCTTCTTTAACAATATACCTTTCCATTCTTTGTTACCTTAGCAGTAAAAGGCCCTGTATATAAACGTATACCCTTGTTTCTAAAGCTCTTACTTAGAGCACAGAAGAGCAGGAAATAGAGCATCCATTCATACATAAAAGGCAAAGGAACACACACACACAACAATGATTCTTGACAGACACACAAATAATTAACAGCTGACCACCAACAAGGTACAATTATCTGGAATGGTGTGATGATTATGAGTTTTTCTGCTAAATGGTTTTTTTCTTCCTTTTACTTATTCTTTCCTTCTTGACCCTTGAGCACATACACAAAGGCTCAGGGAATGACAGTATTTTGAAATGATTTTTCCCACCTAGTCATCACTCTGTGCCCTGTTGTCACCCCTCGGTGGCCCTCAGGAGAAACAGCTCGCTGGCAGCTGTGTGAGGTTCCTAAATAATGCATCAAAACCGAGCTCATCATTTGCCTTCGTTACTTTTCTGTGTCACCAACTTGCAATCCTCTCTTCCTGTTCGTTTTGAATTTCCATCGTTAGCCTGGGTTGCAAGGTTAGCGGAGGAAAGAAAGAACCCCATGAAAGAAGGGGAATGTCATGTGGAAAGGACTGTTCAGGATCAAGAGGCAAACAACAACAACAACAACAAAAGGCTATGAAAGTTGCGGGTGGGAAGGAAAATGCTCATTATCAATGACACTGATATGTGTGTGTTTCCTGTCTGTGCACAGAGCCCTGGAGATCTGAAGACCAGCCACTGAGGGTGCTCTGTCATAGCTGTGGAGAAATGATGATGATATGAAAGTCACAGAGGAGATGGCCCCTGACAGATATGAACAAATGTCCTCTGAAATAACATCTGTGGAGCTACATCCCCTTGGGCCTGGCAGTGAGGATCATTTGCATTCCAGCCTCTGTATTAGTCAGGATCCCCCAATCGTTTTTATTTTGAACTATGCCATAAAGTATTTACTTGACAAAAAGAAATCACTTGACTATCTTCGGAACAAAGGTCTTGATAAATCTTTGAAATCATGCTGTTCCTCTTATATATGGCATTCTCTCAAGAATTGCGATACTGTCAGGAAACTTGAGAGTCTAATGAAATGCTCAGAGTAAACATTTTTTCACTCTACAGGAAGAATAGTTTTATGATTAATTTACTTAAATGTGTGAATCAAGAAACATCTAAAAGTTAAAGAAAGCAATGAACTTCTAAGTGGAAAAAGATATATTGTCTTTTCTTTTCTTTTTTTCTAATGTTTATTGAACCTCCAGAGTTTATAGTGTTAGAGGAAATAAGACTAGTCAGTTTCAAGTCCAACAAAGAAGTAGCAAGTCGATATAGTTTCGTCCCATGTATATGACTTATTTGCACACAATATTTCATGAGTAACCCAGTAAAACATGGAATTCTTCATGAATTTGTGTGCCATTCTTGGACAGGGTCCATGCTAACCTTCTCTGTGTTGTTACAATTTTAGTATATGCACTGCCAAAGCAAGCACTATCTTTTCTTAATCTTATATAACTATCTGATCTGATGCATTCAAATTCTGAATTTTTTGTCATTTAACAAAGTGGTTTATAAATACAATCCATCCTAGCCAACGCCACCCCTTTTATTATTCTCACCCATCCTTCCCAACATATCCTTTCCTCCCTCTTCTTAATTCTGTAGGATATACATTAAATTCTTGACTAAATTCTCCTCCCTTCTCCTCTTCATTCATCTACATCTTCTCCCCATTGAAATTTGACTTTTTAATCATTATTTCTTTTAATATACTGAACAGTTTCAAGTAATTGTGTTCCCATTGGGAAATCTGAGGTACAACCAACATATGATTTATTTTCCAAAAGATTTGCTGCAGCATTCATTATTGAGGCTCTGTTTTCCACCAGATGAGGCTGAATAGTATATGTTTATAAATATTAATCCTTACAAGAACACAGGAAAGAGAAAATGGGAGAGGAAAAAATCTGCTAGTTTGACAAAGCTAATGTTGTTCTATATAAATTAGTGGCATAACCCTTGAAGTCCCTAGGAGAACACTAGGGGTCTTTGCTAGGCTAAGAAGAGACCTATTCTGCTATCTGTCAGCATCTCTGCTACTCTGTGTCGCCCAGGGCAGAAGTACACTGCTCCTGGAAGGTTAGAAATACCATCACTTCTTCCACAGTCATCCAAAGAGTTTGGATCTTTCTCCTCTGCACCACTTACCTGAGACTCTAAACAGACAATCCAAAGCCCAGTAACAGATCTTGGAGTTTACTATTTCAAGTTAAAATGTTATCAATGGGTATTGCTAGCTATAATAATTACATATTTTTATGTAATTATGTACCACACAATTTCCCCTTCATGGTGACAGCACCTTGCACATCTTGTAAAGGAAATATGTATGCCATTTTGTTAGTTTAATAGTGCCAGATCATTCGTAGCTATCAGATCCCAAATCTTCAAAACCTTTAAGGATAAATCCACATATTAAACTTTATTTTTCCTTCCTACATCTAAAGGGTTTGTGGTAAATTTTAGAACTGTGAGGAACGCATGCAATCAGTAAATGATTTTAGGGGTGGTTGCTTATGTTTTATGCCTAGCTTCCAAATGAGTTAGAACTAGCTGAGATGGGCAGATTGGGTTGACACATGGCTATAACTGAACTCAGATCCCATTTATCCATTTTGAGCATCATACCAGTCCCAAATTGTCGAGTTGGTGGAAGGATTGAGTGACAACATCTATACACTTAGTTTTACCTTTGTTTTAAATAGGATTGAATTATTTTTAGACTTGAATATGTTATATGTTACATATATGTTGTATTTACTTCGCTCTAATCTTGTTATGGCATTTTTCTGTGAAAATAAAAATCCTCCTGCCTTATTTTATATACAAAATTACTGAAACATCATGTAGCAAGTAGTGACAAAAATCTTCAATGGATTTAAAATTTCTTGAACAAAATAATTAACTAGTACCTGCAGCCTAATACTTCCATATTTTAAATATAATAAGTATGATATGCAAAGGAAACTAGACAAGCTACAAACCCCTGATTTGATGCAACAATCCTCCCAGGAAAGCATCCTTCCTTGTCTCCCCTCATTCTTGATTTTATTTTTCCATGGGTTCTGTTACCTGTGGTTAACTGTGGCTCAGAGATATTCAAGGGAAATAGCAATCCATGAGTTTTAACATATGTGCCATTCTGTAAGCATGATGAAATCTTGCATGTCCATTTCATCCTGTCCAGGACACAAATCATCCCTTTGACCACATGTCCATGTTGTATGCACTGCCCACCTATAAATCTCTTAGTAGTCATCTTAGCTTTTGCTTCCACTATGGTACCATGATAATGCCTTGTTCACATAGCCCTCAGTTCACTTAACAATTATCCTAGAGCAAAAAAAGGTCATAATGCTGCTGATTCAGATATTCCAGAGAATCCATAAAGTGTTTCCCTTAAATGAAAAGTTGAAAGCTCTTGAATAAGGAAAGGGAAATTTACTATGCTGATGTTGCTAAAAATCTATAGTAAGATTCTATTTTTAATATTTAGTGGCCTAATTTATAAATTAAGCCTCATTATAGATGTCTATGTACAGGCAAATGTAGGAGGGTCCATTACTATCTATGGTTTTAGGCATCTACAGGGGGAGGGGATGAATCTTAGAAAATTTCCTAAGGATAAGAGAGATGACTTTTCCTACCCATTGAAAATGCTCTCAATTGTCCAATATCTTCAGTAAACATTTAGTATTGACATAAACATATAAACATAGTTACATTTAATGAAGCAAGCCCAAAGAAGACAAGTTTCTCATATGAGAGAAAATATTTCAACTTTTCAAAATAAAAACAAAATGGCAGAGTGACACTGGTTCGAGTAGGGGAAACAAAATCCCCATGGAAATACAATGTCACTATGTCACTACAAGACTTTTCACCCCATATTGATTTTCATTTACCCAGGATGATATGTGACTGAGTTTACTATAGTATTAAAATACACATTTTAAACTCAGTCGGAGAAGACTGAAACTTCCATTTCTCCAGAAGCAGTAATTCATGCCCCATCCACATCCGTGTGGCATTTCTGGGGAACACACCAGGCCGGGAGGTGTTAGAACGTCCTGATGTGATATAACAGTTATTTTGAAGACAGAATGGCACACAGTGAAACCCAGGGAGCACCCAGAATTCTGATGTGTTGTTTTTCTTTTCGACTGTCATTTTTAGTTCAAGGTAAAGTCTGGTTTCCAATGCCAATACTGTCAAATAAAAAATGTAGAAGGAAATGCAGGATTTGCTCCCCGTGCTAGGACGTAGAACACCCATCTACAATAGGTAAATGCTTATAAATTTAACCATCAACCATTGCGTACATCAGAAGGATATTCCCATATCAAAAATGTAAAACAAAAAGATTAATGACTGGTATTGACACCAATTTCACAGGACCTTGATGTTTGGATCGATTTATCATCATCATGATCAACATCATAAGTTTAGTGTGCCCAATAGATCAGTGGCAATGGAAAGACAATGGAATCATACAGTTCCCCCAGGGAGCAGTCATTCATGTCCTGCCCCCTAGATGGTCACTGGGACCAACCAGTGAAGCACTGGATGGTGTTGCCACCGTCGTGGGCAAGAGAAGGTGCTGATTTTACTGTGCGTTTTGTGGAGGTCACTGAGGAGGCGGGACCACTGGGTTTAGGATTCAGTGCTTTGTTGACTTCACGGGGCTATGGGTCAGAGATACTGTCCTCAGTCATTTTGTGCCTGGTTTCAGAGTGAACAAGACAGCAGCACAGAATGTGAGAGCTCTATTGAAGTGGTGGGCTTGTGGATCGACTGGCAACTTAGGAAGGAGAAGTAAGCGCTGTGGCCAGAAAACTGGGCCAACCCTACTTTTAAAACCACATTACACATCCTTTAATGAATTCAGCAATGAGCAATCAGTTCATTGAAGACCCTGAATTCGCCATTTTCTAAAATGGTGGACAAACAGATATTTTAGTAACCAGCTATAGATTCCTTTCCTTACAATAAAATAATAACAAAATGCTGAAACAAGGACACAGGACGACCCATTGGGACAAGGATACCGACAAGACAGTATATTGGAAATGAACTTTACAACTTTGGAGGGGAGGAATGAGGGAAGTGGGGCAGGGAAGGGATAGTGGAAGAACAAGGGAGAGGGTAAGAACACTTGACAAGAAGGGTCATAGAACTGTAACCACTCTGTACAGAATCTTCACAATAAAATGAATATTTATTTAAAAAAAGAAAAAATCACATCTCACCTGGTAATGTTCCATCTCTCCTCAAAAGTAAACATGTTAATAAGCAACTCAATGTAATTGTTATTTTCTCCCAGTTTAACTGAATAAATGAGGCAAACATTCATATTTCATCAAAACTTGTGAAACAAAATTTTTAATGTAAGAAAAGAAGGGTCAGCTTTAAAGGATTATGCATTGAAATGATCATTGCTATATTTGGATTTTTTTCCAAGGTTAAATGCTGGTCTGGGTACTTTATGAACATTGAATCTAGTGTGTTATTATTTCCATTTTATTTTACAAATAAAAAACCTGACACTCAGAGGTGTCAATGGGACACTCATTATCCTTCAGTCATCACAAGTCAGAGCCACTATTCAAAACTCAGTGCAAGCAGTTTCAAAGAACCTGCCAAACAGCCCTTAGTTCTACCTAATGATGTTCCTACCTGAATAAACAGCAACCTCATGGGTCGCTACACAGGTATTTTTTTTCCTTTTATGCTCCCCCAGTTTCCGCAAGACATTTCCTTTAAGATCTTTAACCAATTAGGCAGTATTGTACAGCTGACTACTAAAGAAGTGATAGAGATTGAATTATTATTTTCCTTAATAATAACTCAATTGAGTCCAATCTGTATCTTCAACATCCCCTCTGGGATCCCTATATTAGAGGCCCAGGGTATGATCCAGACAAGAAAGAGTCCAGCCTGGAGAGGTTAACTAAGGACAGTTAACTAACGGATCCTTCCAGCTCCCCAAGGAGATGAAACCTGGAAGGCACACAACTTGCCCTCAATATCTATGCAGCTAATGAGGACCAGGCCTCTGTGGGCATAGCATTCATGTTCTTTCAACTAATCAGTAATGGTTTCAGAAAAATAAAGCTCTTTCTAACAGTAGCATTGCCAAATTATTTTCAAATTTGTTTCAAATTCAAGTAAAATTGGAGAACAAAAGAAGTACAATTTTGGAGTCACATCTACATCCTTTAATTGAATGTTCAGATAAGATGTCCTCTAGCACTCAGAGGGTGCTAGAAGAATATGTTCAGCTCACCCAGTTCTTCTGGACTCTCCAAAGTGACAGGCCACAATACACCCTGGAGAGCTGCTACATCAGTCCAAGGGGCAGACAGTGAGCAGCTTCACTCGCAACGCATTGACCTCCCTCTGTCCTTCCACGTCCTTCCATGTCCCAAGG